TTTTTTTTCCCCTGCTCAGTTGTCCCCGCTGTAATCTTTATTACCTGCCTTCTGCTCACTCTGGGTTTATAATGTTCTTTGTCTCGTTCCTTGAGATGTAAAGTTAGGAGCTGATTTGAGATCTGCCTTTTTCATGTAAGCGTTTATGGCTGTAAACTTCCCCCTCAGCTTGGCTTTCTGTGTCTCCCGTCAGTCTGGGTAGGTTGCGTTTTCATTTTCACTTGTCTGAAGATATATTCTAATTTCCCTTGTGATTTCTTCTTTGACCCACTGGCTCTTTAAGAGTATGTTGTTTCATTTCCACATTTCTGTGGATTTTCCAGTTTTCCCTCTGTACTGATTGTAGTTCCACTCTATTGTGGCTGGAAAAGGTTGTGCGTTTTCCATCTTCTTACATGTCAGAGTTGTTCTGTGACCTAACCTGTGGTCTCTCCTGAAGAAAATGCTTGTTCTGCCCTCATTGGTGACAAAGGCTCCCTCCTTGACTAAATGTGTCAGGCTCCTCTTGAGTCGCTGGTCTTCAGCCTGGGCCTCAGGCCTTGTCAGGCCTGCATCACCCAGTCATAGCAAGAACTTTGCTAAGTGAGTTTAGAGAGAATCCCCCACCCTTGATATCTGGTCACCCTCACTATCTGGTCAAATTCTTCACCCTCCACCATCCCACGGGTCATGTGTGACTTGATGCACACATGAGAAAAATATTAATTTTAGACTCGACGCATGCATGAGAAAATGTGTAGGTCAGCTACAAAACTAAGAAACAGAGTATACAACTTCTAACCAACACATACACAGGAATGTTAACACCAAATCGGGGCTTGTGGGGCATGGGGTGGGGAGGAGGGACCCGACACTGGGTTAAGTGGGCTTCTGGGTATGTGGGTGCTCATTACTCTTTAGACCTTTTCATAAGTGTGAAATATTTCTTTAAAATAGAATTCAACCACTTTTGGTTATTTAAAAAATAAAACAAAAACGCTTTAATCTCTCTATAGCAGTGGTTCTCAACTCGGGTTGACTTTGACCCCTCCCTCCAGGGGTCATTTGGCCATGTCTGGAGACATTTTTGATTGTCGCAGATGGGGGGGGGTGCTACTGGAATCTAGTGGGTAGAGGCCAGGGATGCTGCCGCCCTACAATGCCCAGGACTCCCCCCGCCCCCCGTAACAAGGAGTTGCCTGGTCTAAAATGTTGTTGGTGCCACTTTTGAGAAATCCAATTCTTTAGCAGAAGAGCATTTATTTGTTCAAAAATTAGGTTTTCTCCCTCTTCTTGTGTTTGAGAGTAAAGGGAACTCCATTTTGTAAATCACGAGATGCAGGGATGATATCAATGACACGGTGACCTCACTTAGAGTACTGCTCCGTGCAGCTATTTTCAGGAAATAAAATGGAGTCTTCAGGAAAGACACGAACTTTAATAAATAGGCAGCATAATTACTATTTTAAAGCATTAAAATTAATTTACCTTTGGTTGATTAAGTGGTTTGAACGCAGAACTACCTGGGGTTGTTTTGACTGGACTTTATGAGATGGCGTTTCCACGAAATAGTTCATAGCTTTCAGTTTCTCCATCTCCAGGAAAGGGACAAAAAAAGGTACCTGAGAAAGCTGTTTCTGTCCTCGTTTTCGTGCTAGTGGCACATTAGTATTCGACAGTGGCACTGTACTACATTCCGGGGCTGCTACTGACATCCTGTCATTAAATCCCAACTTACACATCTGGCACACCGCCTCAACGCAGCTCAGGGAGTTGAAGTGTAGATTACAGTCCAACAAATCAACATCCTTGAGTCGCACGTTTACGTAAACCTGCAATTAAGACGGCGTGCAATCACTCCCTTTGCGTACCTGACTAGGGCAGGGAAGCACGCTGTTGCTCCGGGGCGGAGAGGCGAGGATGCTGGCGGAGAGGGCAGCCCTGCTACAGGCTCCAGGAACGTAGCAAGTTGTGACCCAGGCAGTGTCTCTGTACACCCTGCACCACTCAAGAAGGCCCTCATTTTCACTGATAAACATGGCAGTGTCTTCAGAAACCTGGTTTGGTGTTGTAGAATTATCTTTAAAACTCTGTGAGCATTTGTGGGTAATGGGAAAACAAAAAACCGGATCCTTAAAGGAGGTGGTGACAGCCGGACAGGAAGGATTTGGGACAGAGGGTGTGGGGAGGAGAGCCGCAGGGGCCCGGTGGACAGGCAGGCACGTCCCCCGTCCTGCAGAAGAGAATGCAAAGCTTCCAGCAGCACGGCCACTGCCTGCCATGCAGCAACCCAAAACGGCAGGATGGGAAGGCGAGGCATTCACTGGGGCCTGTCCTGAGCGTCAGCAAGTATCCTAGTTCTGGAGGCTGAGTTCTGATGGATTCACATCCGAGAAGGATCTAGACACAATTATACCCCACAGGGCGAAATGACATCAGGAACAGCAGCTTCACATTCAAAGGGACACCGCACAGATACCCCGGAAGCTACACTGGTCCCTCAGCGCGGGTGGCTGAGGCTGCTAGCCGGCTACCGAAAACAGTCTCGGAAAGAACCACCGCCCTGAGCTGGTCTTTCGGCCATTTCGACTGAAGCAAAGCAAAGCGAGCAGAGCACTCTGTTTTGAGAAATCTATTTCTTTTTCACTCTCGCAGAAAAATCTGTGTAGAAAGGTCTGGCTGCCCCTCTGATTTTGGGGGTAGGGTGGGTGCTGGACATGAAAGTCTTGTTTCTATTTTCAGTGACAGTCCCCTCCACCTTTCTCAACTGGTGGCCCAAGACTCACCTGGCCACGCAGAGAACTGATGGCATGGTAACTAGCTCTGCAGCCCAGCAAACTGAGCGCTCGTGTGATGAAATGCGAACCGTGTTGCCTGAGCAAGGCCGTGAAGAATCTGAATAGGATTTCATCCTTTACTCCCGTTTAGATAATTTCGTCTCACTCAATGGAGACTTGATGAGAGACTGAAAAGGAACTCAAGGGTTAGGATTTAATTGTGATCTCATTTACATTTCAGATGCAGAATGAAATTTCAGCATCTCCTGCCATGCTTGAGAATGGGTTTAGTTGTGTTTATTTGTGGCTAGAGAGGCTGAGAGCTGACAGGTACTCACTCATACAGCAACAACAGCTCTCCTTACGCCACGGGGCTAGATTCAAGATGGCGCGGGCATTGCTTTGGTAGTTTTTCTGCAAACATAAAACATCATGTTAGATCTCCATTGCCTCCTTTTATCCCAGGGGTGGAGTTGAGAAGCCTGCCTTTTTCTAGTGTTGTACTAGTTAACTATGGCTGCAAACAACCCCCCCCCCCAATTTAGCAGCTTAAAACATCTACAGTTTTGTGGTGGGGAGCCCTAGACAAAGGCTTTCTCAGACCACATGGCCACCAAGACATGTCCTAATTCCTACCCCAAATAAGGATCCTAGCTGCTAACCCGGACACCTCAGGTTATATAGCTCGGAGTCCTGTCCGGATCGGGGCTCAGCCTCTGGATGTGAATCCGCTGAGCCGGTGCTGGCATCAATAAACGTTGCTTCTCGCCTGAGCCTTGGTGTCCCGTCTCTGTCCGAGTATCCCGTGATAGTTTGGGTTTCTGAGTTAGTACGTAGGCGTGGCTCACCAGCGCTAAAAGCTGCCATCAAGATGCTGTCTGTGGTCGCGAGGCTCCAGCTGGGGGAGGACTCCATTCCACACCCCCTTGTGTGTTGCTGGCAGGTTCAGGTCGTCACATGTGGTTGGACTGAGGGCTTCTGTGCCGTGTTACCTGGTGACCAGACATTCCTGTTTCTTAGCACGCGTGCCTCTCCATAGAGCATCTCAGGATGTGGCAACGGGTTTTCCTGAGCTGGGAAGTACTAGTGGGAAGGAAGACAGAAGCCAGACTCTGTCACCTAATCTCAGAAGTGACATGTCACTTTGGCCATATTCTGTTCATGAGAAGCAGGTCACTAGGTCCAGCTCACACTCAAGAGCAGGGATGGTACAAGATTATGAGTACCAGGAGGCAGGGGTGGCTGGCGGCCGCCTGGGAGCCTCCTGCCACAGGCTTTGTTCTTTGTATATTAAAAACTAACAGAGAAAGTAAGGTTGCCTGGCGACAATGAATGTGGAAGGCAGAGGCTATGGATCTTGGCCGCTTGTCGCACGTTCACTATGTTACTTGTGACGTTTTCAGAGCTGATTGTCTTCTGAGATGTTACCCGTGCGTAACAAAGTGATAAAATAACGCAAGGGTAGAGCGAGAACCCCCCTACGATTCGCATGACTACTTCTCGGTTCAAAGTTTGTGAACGCTTCTCTGATATGCCACGTAACACAACAGAACAAAGTCATCAATGGGAAGACAGATCACGATTTGAAAAACATGGTTCAATACCCAGATTTCTGATAAAAAGCCCTTCTAGCAATCAGCAGCTACTCGAAATGTTTCAATCAAATACGCACTGGCTCAGTGTGACAAAGCGTGGACGCTGAGAGCACCTTTTGATGAAAGCTCTTTCTTCAGCCTCAGTAACACAGGAAGTAAAATGCTCTGTGACTATTTGCAGACAGACCAGCGGTGACCACCTTTTACTTTGCTCCTTGATCTGTGTCTGCATGATTGTAACTCCGAGGACCCTGCCTGCCTCTGCTTCCCCCTCAGTGTACGCCTCTTGTGAGATCTGCTCACCCATCCTTACGAAGCTGTGGCTGTGCCCCATGCATCCTGCGCCTCAAAGCACAGCGGGGCCTGCCAGCCCCCTCTTCGGGCCCCACCCCAGGGAACGGAGGCAGTGAGCATCCTGTAGGAAACCGAGGACAACCGTCACCCCCCTTTTCCTAGTTCATCTTCACTTGAAGATTAATTCGAGAACTTAAAAATGGTTTTAAGTGGAACAGCCTGAGGATGCTTTTATTTTTATCACAACTATGATTATTTACTTTGGAAGCGACTGGATAGGAAATGACAACCTTGCCCTGGGAAGGAAATGAGGATTCTTGGCCATTTCTAGAGACTGGAAATTGAGGCAAGCGAGGAAATCAAAACACAAGTTTTTATTTCCAGTTCAGGAGTCAAATTCTTTACTGGGAGGTGTCAAACCAGGATTAACATATGAGAAGTCTTAGCAGGTCTGGAAGTTCATCTCCAAAAAGAAAAATCCATTGCTTAAAAAAAATTTTACTCAAGATAGTACGTACTAAACATGTACCCCAGTCATTTGTTTCTTGGGCTTTTGTAGCCATTTAGACCAATCACAGAAATGTATGAAACAGCTACTAAAGAAAGCAGATTCCGAATTTTGAATTTGTTATTAGTACAGTATATAAAACGTGGACAACTGATTTTGTAGGGAGCTAAAAAAGATACATCCCAGGTCAACTTGTCATTTATAATGGCTCCGAACTCAAATCATTCCCCAAACTCAAGAGATACAGCACACACGTTTAATTTCTAGAGGATACATCGTTTCCTTTAGATTTAAAAAAGATCACAAAAGCATAACACTGAAGCTCTTTCCGGCTAGTGTCAAGCCTAGAAATTAACAAACACTCTTTATTAAGGAGTCACAGTAAATGTCTTGCCGAGTTTGCAGGTGCCAAGAAATCATGGCAACAAAATTGCAGAACAGCAAAGTGTTACATAGGTAAAGAAAGTAAAAAATCACACTTTGAAACAAGCTATTATAAATCACATTTTAAATCAGAATGACTGACAAGATTACGTGGATCATTGGGGCTGCTGTTTGGAATGGCTGGACTTTGAAAACGTACAGCCGGCTAAGCAGGGAGACAGTGAAGTGCAGGAAAGGGCACTGGATTAGCTCTCACTTCTTTTCTCTGGGCTTCTGTCTGCTCATTAATAAAGTTGGACCAGATCATCTTTCTTGGATCTTAACCCCCAAAACTCAAGGTTCCATCTGACCAGGTTGATGTGTCTGATCTAAGGGAGATTCTTTTTAGTCTTTGAGAAAGTAACATAAACAACACAGCAGACGCCATTTTGCAAGCGAGCATACCTCCTTTGACAGAACCACTCCTGGGTCACACTAGGCTTTTCCTGTCCTGGCTCATCAGCTGGCACACTCCTGGCACAAGGAAGCTCCCTGCTCACCAATCGCAGAACTATAAAGCTGTTCAGAAGCACACATTTTAGGTTCTTTTCATGCTATTCACTACATGAAACACGACATTTGACATAAGAGCTGTTGACAACTCCAAGTTAAAGGAGCCTTTTTCATCTCTTTTGTGACGGGAAAGCTGGGAAATGAACATTCCCCGGCACAAAAGGTGCACCACACTTTCTTCCTATGTACTTTAGACGTTGGGATTACCATTACTAGGTTTCCTGCCATGTGTGGGCACTTGGGGGTTGACTCTTGGGTTAAATTGGGACCAACTGTGTCACAGATGGAAGATAATGACACTATGTAGAGCTGAACTTAATACTGCTCCTTAATTGAAGGTATTTCCCCCAGATTTGCATTTTGCTACACGTTGAACACTGGGCACCATATTGTCTGGGAAGGGTGTAGTAACCTCTCCACAGGATGGCTGAATTTCATCCGCCATGGCTCGAATTTATGGCTCTCAACTTTGTAGTTTTCTTACTGACCTCAAAGGTGGAAGACTATATATACAATCAGCATTACGCTGGTAATAATGTCTAATGCTTATCGGTGCCGTTCTCTGCCTGTGCTGTACCAAGGTGCTTGACTAACAAACAGACGAGACTCAGTACCATCTCTAGTTCAGCGAAGGCATAGGCTGCACAGCCATCTAGGCTGGTCATCGGGTTCTCTAGTTGCATCCCAGACCCCGGGAAGAGGTGCTTCCTCTGGGTTAAGATTTCCCAGTGTGACCTCTGCGTTTCGCATCTTTTTTAAATTCTGCGGAAATGTTGTCCTGTACAAAGACCTGCTCTTTAAGAGAAAACTAGCCTCTGCAGATGTCTGGGTTTTCTATCGTGAAAACCAAAAACAGTTTCATCTGTTTCAGCAGCCAGAAAATTTAGAACCAAATTTGCTGTCCACGCTTTACTTGCCGGGCTGCCTGAAACCATGCACTTCTGTGTTGTTTTAATGTGAAATGTGTTCTTTAGACTGTATTTTATAGGCCGCTTCCTGGTCCTTCAAAAGAAAAACAACACAAATTTCAAAAATTAAAAAGTTGCAGGTGACTATAGATAATGTAGTTATGCATACTGTTTTATTCTCTACTAAATCTAGATGTTCAAGATAAATTTAACAGCTGTTTTTATAATGGATACGATTTTTACATAGAAAATATGCAAATTTTCCTTTCATCATCATGGAGACTGAGATCAGTTATTATTATATTAAGTATTTACTATGCTGTTCAAATGCTGGCTGGCAAGTAACTAATTAAAATGCCTATTCAGCATGGCTGTTGAGAGAATTCAGCGCTCTAATCTGGCTCTGCTTCCTCAGCTCATTGAATATTACATTCACTAAGTCTTTTCACCTTTCCAAGTTGCATTTTTAAAACAAGAAATTATGCTGACTTAAAAAAAACTTAAATCACAAATATTGTAAAAACTTAAGTCGCAAATATACTATGTGTAGTTTTTCCTATCTTCTGGATATTATGCACTTCAAATAAAAGTGATATAAGAATCATTTTGAAGGAGTACTAGACATGTATCATATTTAAGGTCATAGTTTTCACTCATCTGAGAAAACACAGATGTGATATTTAAAAAAATTAACAAAATCCAGTGAAACTTCGATCTCTCATGTCATCGAGAATTTACTACAAAAACATAGAAAATGAGAATTTATCTCGCTTGAATGGCATGTCTATATCAGCTATCATTCAATCAATCCTTTCCATATATATCTTAAGATCCAAAACGTCAATGCCATAAATAACCTGATTAAGAATCATATAACAATGTATATTTTAATATAAGATTTGTGGAGTATTTTAGAATAAATATCACACAGTGAAAAATCTATCATAAACCAAATGCAATAACAAAAAGAAATCAAAAGCTTACGTACACATTACCAAGGCCGTTACAGTAACTTATGGTGTACATTTCCATCAGAGCATACAGAACTAATGTGAACACTGAAAGAAACCTGTCATGTAGGCCTTTAATCTTGATTTAATAAAGTTTGTACAGTATCAAATAATATCAAAAGTCTAAAAAAACACAATGAGTTTTTATACCATGTTTATAAATTATTGTTTATATACCATAAAAAAAATAAGGTCAAAAGTGCAGTTTAAAAAAAAGTGGAAGTTGTTATTGTTGGTAAGAACTAGAAAAATGTATTGTCCCAAGTAAGAAGCAATCTAAAGGCTTGTACAGTTTTTTAGGAATTCTCCTTTAACTCTCTCACACAACCTTGGTTACTGCACGCTATAAAATAAGCCAATATAAAGGGAGCTGAATAATCTTTTCGTAAAAATAACAGGAGACACATCTAGGGATGAGAAACACTGGGAATAAACATAATTACAGGCCTCCTTAAAATGAATTCAAAGGCTCCGCTCATAGGAATGAACAGACTGTCGCTGAATGTGAGCAAATTTGGAAATTTCAAAGGATTTCTAGAAGTTTTAATTTTTGTCATGTTTCTGGTCATAACTGGCAATGGTACATACATTCCAGGGTTATGAGATTTTCTAGTATAACTAAGACAAAAATATGACTTAAAGGTGATAAATCATATCATCTACTTCTCACAGAAACTAAAGGTTGAGAATCCAGTAATTAAAAGGCAACGGTATAGAAATTAGTCAGGAAGAAACAGATGGACGAAACATAACTCTGGGTCTTAATTGGCACTAACCACAGTAACATTGTATTTCGACAAATTCTAGAACAAATGCCCCATGTGGGAATATGTGTGGTACATGAATCACTTATATTTATGTAAGAAAATGAAACTGGAAAATTACTGGTTTACAAAACAAACAAAATTCAGAGAAAAAAAAAATAAAAGGAATGTAAAAACACCCTTACTTTTGAATTTCTTGGGGGATCAGAATCTTGACAGGGCCGTATGGCTCAAGAGCACATTCCTGCGGCCGAAACTATGGACAACAGGCTCCCTGCGCTGCTCCGGAGCCCGCTCCACACACCCGCTCCCTCCTCCAGTGCCATCTAACGGGTGCTTTGTTTACAACGCCAAGCGAGTGGTGATGATGGTTTTTTTCACTGAATGGAGTGAGTTCCTTGGTTGCTGCAACATAAACTGACTGCCTGAGATAATAAAAACTTCATTAGAATAGGTTATCGGGAAGTGAACGTCTCCCTAGTTTGGACGGGGGAGAAGGGCTGGCTGCTGACGCAGCGGGGTGCTCGCAGGCTGGGATGTCCACACTTGGCCAGTGTCACCTGCAGCGGAAGATCAGAAGTCGATGGATATGGACGCCTGGGCACAGTCTTCTCGGCCCCGGCCATAGATCTCGCAGGGCATCTCCTCCATGACTCTGTCTTCCAGGGCTTGGTCGGGGCACTCGTGGGCCTGTTTGAACGTGTAGCTACTCTTTTTGAAGGTGCTGTTGAAGGTTTTCATTGGCTGTGGTTGTGCAAAGTCATTTCGGAAAGGGAGCTCCACGGAGCTGAGGTTGGTCCTGCTGGGTTTTGCGCTGGCGGCCTGCGACCCGCAGTGGTGGTCGTGGATGCACCGGGACACGGCTGAGGCGCGTCGCAGCTTCTGGTAGCTGTCCAGCTCCTCGGACAGGTCGGCCAGGTCTCCGGCCACCTCCTTGTCCCGCAGAGAGAACAGCTCGTAATGAGGGGGGTCGAACACTTCCTGAAAGCCCGTTTTATTGAAAGCGGTTTTGCAAGCCATGACTTTCTTCCGAGGCTGTTTCACTTGTACTAAAACAGAGATAATAAGGAGAACCAAGACGACCCCGGATGTGATGCCGATGATGGTTCCGTGGGTTTTAGTGATTTGTTCAAACAGTCCTGCTCTTTTCTTTTCTGTGGAAAGAGAGAGAAAGGTTGAGGCTTTCAGAATTCATTAGCGAGTCCCATCAAAGTGTTATTTTTAGGTAAAGCAGAACCCTTGGGTCACGTGCACCACAGATAACTTAAAATTAGGTTTCAAAGCCAAAAATAAAACAGTCCTATTATGATTTCTGGTTAAACCAACCAATCGTATGGCTGGACAGATTACAAAAAAGAAAAAGGGCTTGGTTTTTTGCTCAGAAGGCGCGTGAGTGCATACAATTTGCAAATCAAATGAACCACACGAATATAGAAAATGCTGAAACAAATCCCCTTGCTGTGTCACGTTTAGCTCCCTGCTGCACAGTGGGCGTCAGTCCACCCCACAGCATCCACTGGCGGCCCCTGCATGAGAGAGCTAAGGTGACGGGACGCAGCCACTCAGCTGTGCTATCAGGCTCTGCTGAGAATACTTCGTGTCGAGTACTTACAGCAGCCCTGTCACATCACATTAACTTTTCATAGTAAGCTACCGATCAAGCCCTTGAAGAGTAAAAGGCAGGTAAACTTTTGTACTGAGACCCTGATCTGATACCCAGCTGGCAGACATTCAACTGTTACCAGAGCCTCACTGCTCTTCCGGGAAGCATACATGGGAAGTAAGACACAGGACATTTTATGAGAAGAGCAGTTCTTATGATGAAGATGCTTCATACTGTAAGACTGAATTAATCAGCTGATTTTTATTTTATTTTTTTAAGCTGAGCCATCCTGCCACCGGTTGGCAGCTTAGTGGCTGCTCAGCTCGGGCCGGGAATCGAACCGCTGTTGCTCAGAGCTCAAAATCTTGCAGCTGATTTTTATTAAATAGCACTTCCATGTAATTTAAAAAATAACAATACTCCAGGTCACTTTCTAAATTATTTTGAGAATAAGGTACCTTTGCAACACGAATGACTAAGACAATAAGGGCAAGAAATATTATGACGAACTTTTGCACAACTTAAGATAAAAAACACGGTTTGAGAGTAAGTGTTCTTCTCTGCTTTTATGACATCCAGAGGTCTGTGATGCATTTAAAAGACCACTTATAGTAAAGCACAGTTGTAGAGAAGAACATTCTAGGTCGTCCTTAACGAAAGGCAATGGCCGCTCTTCTCCCTGAAAAGCTGGCCTTCGCCAGAGGACTCACCTTTGCAGTGGTTTTCGTCCCACGGGTACGCGCAGTTTTGAACACCATTGCAGACTAATGAATTATTGATGCACATATTGCTGTGGCAGAAGAAAGTGCTGTCTGTGCAGGGAGCTGCAGGAAAAAGGGAAACCGCTGCTAAGAACAGAAGGCATCCAGATGAGAAATTCATCTTGATTTAGATTACGCTTACTGCTATGAAGTCAGTGTCTCTCCTGAGGCCTTCCCATGAATACTCGCTGTACTGGACAAGCGCTAAGACGGAGGCTGCCATTGTCTGATGCACGTAAAGGTTTACTCACATTGGGAAACAAAAGGTTGCTTTTAATGTAATGACAACATGCATGTATTTCCCATGGTTCTTATGCAACTAGTACATTGCCTGGTAATTTTTTTCAAGTTAAAAGAAAATGTTGGTCATAATGTAGAGACATTGGAACCCTGTGCGTCACTGGTGGGAAGGTCAAATGGTGCCGCTGCTGTGGACAACACTATGGCAGGTCCTGAAAATGTACACAGGTTGCCACATGGTCCAGCTAACTCCACTGCTAGGTCTACACCCAAAAGAACTGAAAGCAGGAACTCACACAGACACTGTACACCAATGTTCGCAGCAGCTTGACTCACAAAGCCCGAATGTAGGAACCAGCCAAATATCTGTCGATGGATGAAGGGATAATCACAATGCGTACACACAAACAATGGCACACGATTCAGACTTAAAATTCAGAAGGGAACTCTGACCCATGCTACAACTGAGCACACGTTGAAAATGTTACGCTAAGTGAAAGAAGCCAAGACACAAAAGGATAAACACGCTACTCGTATGAGGTACCTAGAGAAGTCGTCACAGAGACAGAAAGTAGCACAGTAGATTTCGGGAATGGGGGAGAGCAGGGCGGGGAGTTAGTGTCTGGTGAGCGCATAATTTCGGTTTGAGAAGATGAGGTTTTGGAGATGATGGTGGTGATGGTTGTACAACAATGTGGATGTATTTAATGCCACCGACTTGTACATTTAAAATGGTTAAAATGGTAAATTTTATGTAATGTAGATTTTACCACAAGAAAAAAAACACTTCGGAATTTCAAAAAAAATTTTTTAAATAAAGATACATGGCACGCACACACGCGCACACACACACACACACACACACACACACACACACCCGTGTACTCTACTATTCTGTGTAAGCTGTCCTTTCTGTCCCAAATGTCTCCCTCTTTCCCCTCCTAGTGACTGACCACCACTCATCTCCCACTATCATCCCAGGAGAGGCCCCTCTGTCCTCCTAGGTGGCTAGTGATGCCTGTGTGCTCCTGTCACATCCTATGTTCTCCTTGGGTTAGCACTTCCCCATGTACACTACACAAGTGTTATGCTGGACTGTGGTCCAGGGTGCTTACTCCTGTTAGGAAATAAAGTCCGAGATGGAGTCACAAGTGCCAGCACAGTGCAGTCACACATGGCAGTGTGAAGGCACACAAAAATCCCGAAGCCCAGAAGGGGGACAGCTTATCCCCCACTTCTGTGGTGGTATGACAGAACCCACGCCCTCGAATCAACTAACCATCTGACTCACGAGAATATACTCAAACAAAATGTATTTCCTGCCTAAAAAATCCCACATTTCTTATTTTCAGAAAATACATGTTTCACCAAGGAAGGGGAACTTAGAATTGTTCTATGTCATGCTGACAGACCTCAAATGTTTTTTTACATTTTTCTTTTAAAAACTTTACTAGACTACTAATAAGTAGGGTTTATTTTGCTACATACTATCTTCCTTTTAATAAATATACAATGAACCTCACTAAAATAATAGCCATGAATCTAGTATTTCTTTCCCTCTCTTTTTGGATTACAGTCAGAAGCTTTGGAAGCTTCCAACGGCATTATCAGGAATAAAGCTGACAGTTTGGTGTCCACCTGCCTGACACCCTTTGTCTATTTCTCACATGGCTCTGAACATGGGCTGGGAAAACAGGTATTATTTATTGGGTCCCCAGAAAACCCCGAAATATAGTCTGATAGACATAGGTCAACAGAGAACATCCGACACTGCTTTGCTGTTAAAAGAGCAAACATAATCTCTCTTTAAGGCAGAGCCCCGTGAAGGTAATATTCACCCAGGCTCCTTTGCTGCAGGTAGTAATCCACAGGTCATCACTATGAACTTGGGTTGGTTGATCCCCTTCTCACCCCCACTGTAAGCCAAATGTAGTTTAGACATGACTTTCATCTACACATGATTAAAAAGTCTCCACGCCAGACTCTGAAGCACACTTATTTGCTGAGTACTGACCCACCACAGTTCAAGTATAACAACCCCTCCGTGGCTCTCATGACTAAAGATACTAAAATAGCCAAGAAGCGTGAAGGACGGTGCTGTGAGGCTCAAGTGAAAAAAACAGTGGACTAGCAATGAACAGGAGCTGTTTCTGGGTACCAGCAGGTCACTTGTGACTCTAAGGCAGTTCAACTTCTGGGTCTCAGCTTCCTCTTTTTAAATGAATAGGATGGACTATGGGCCATCTTAGACTTCAGTTCTAAGATCAGATGAGGCTTTGAAATTAGCCTCCCAGGGCCAGCCAAGTGGCTCGTTGGTTAAGAGCTGGCTTGGGATCGCAAGCTCTGAGCAGCAGGGCCGCTGGTTCAGATCCCACATGAGGGCCAATGACGCTGCACCCTCTACAGCTAAGATGGTGAACAATAGCTCGACCTGGAGCTGGGCTGCCGTGAGTCGCCAGTGACAGCGTAGGCTGCAGCGGGCTGCCGTGAGCTATTGTGAGTGGCCGGCAGCTGGTGTGAGCGGCCATCCAATGGCCAGTGACCGATCTGCCACAGCCGGGAAGAGCGCAATGATAACACCAACATGGGCCAGTGAAGCAACATCCTCCACAACTAGACTGAAGAACAAAAGGACAGCAACTTTTCTGTTCCCATCCCCCAATTCCCCAGTGCTGTTCCCCTCTCCCAATTACCCAATAAAATCTTAAAAAAAAAAAATTAGTCTCCCAATCACATTGACACTCCTTTTCTCAACCTAAGTGTGAAAACAGTATATAATAAGGGATTTACTGAGACGGTTAATTTGTCAAAATCATATCATTTAAACCACTGAAATAAGTATTTCATGATTCTTAAAAAATGCTTGAGGGTTTCAAAGCTCATCAGAAGGTCACATATAAACCATTAGATTAAAGGCAAAAAAGCCAATGAAGGTTCACGGTGGTATTTTGTTTAAGTACAAAATTAGCCAGTGCACCCACTTCGGCTGTGTCACATATATCGTAAAATGGAAGGGCGCAAATGTGTGTACTTGAAGATGGAACAAATGGTGTTTTTGAATTTTCTGAATCCCTCATTTCTAAAATCTGGAGTTTTCTGCTTTTTGTTTATCTATCATACCATAGTTCTGTATCATGCTATATCATAATACATGCTGAATTCTGATTTTACCTACTTTATCCAGTTTACAAATGGGGATACAGGAAAGAGAAGCTATTTTTCAAGACAGGTTGAGTGAGGTTATAAATAGCACCGTGGCTTCTAGGTATTCTCATTTTCTGAGTCAAACTATCATTAGCTCTTAAAGTTTATCCACAGTACATGATGTGCCTGCATTTTGATGGCTCTTTATAGCTTCAAGGTGGCGAAAAAAGACAGGTTTTTTTTGCTCAGTGTTTCTCACTGAATAGTGACTGGAAAATACGCTGTTTTCATTGTAGAGCTCTCTACAACGCCCCTTCACATTATTGAAAGCAATTAGAAAGCAGCGCTGATACCATGAGACTGTTTTGTAGAAATATATGTTTTATTTGTAATTACAGATGTATTAGACTTTACGTATTGTCAATGGACAAGCACAGCTGTTTATAATGAGAATCAAAGTATCCGTTATTGACATGGGATGCTAATGACATGCTTCAATTCAAAACCATGTAAAGGGACAAAGACAGCAGCAAAATTGATGCCAGTTGTGAACGGCTCTCTACTTGCAGCCCGAGGACCCTGGACTTCCCCCTTTTACTCACTACTGGGCCACGGCGTGGGGAAGAGGAGGGTTAGAGTTTCAGCTCCACTCTGAAGAGAGGCGGCTACGACGCTGAAGGAAGGCTGCGCTTCCACTAAGCCCACAGGGCTGTAGGCAGCACGTCACCGAAAAGAATCACATCGCGGGTTTACGTTCTAAAAACGTGTCTTCAGCTGCTTTCACAGCTCTAGCCCTCGAACTCTTTTCCTCAAACCACACCGATTCTTAGAGAGTGAGGTCTGCATTCGCATTCAGTGCTTGGGGAGAAGGGAAGCCTCCCCTCACTGCTATCCTAAGCCGACCGGCACTATTTTAATCACAGCTGCGTCCACAACGAGGCGGTATGAAGGGCGTCTCTCAGGCAGGACGAGTCCATTTACGGGACCTCCCCTGAAATACTGAGGGCTTTCATGTATGGATTCATCCCAGTTACAAATCATTAACAGCTTAGAGAAGAACAGAAGAAAGAGGTTAACCATCCGAATCAAGGATAAGCATGTAAACTGCACTGTGTGCTGCTCTCAAACTTGTTTATCAAAAGGAGATTTTCAAACTGGAACTTCTGTTTTCTTCAAATGTATAAAGTCCTTTCTTTCTGGAGGGTGGCTGTCTTCCTGTTCTTCAGTAATAAAGCTAAATTTGGGACGTGGAGCTAAGTCTGCTGCCCCCTCAACTTAGTTTATGGTTGTGATCAGTTAGTGTAAAGGTGCCGCTTGAAGGAGGCTTTTCACCAGTTTACTTGCCAGATGTGCACTAACGGAGGAATCGCACACCTGGGGAAAACACTAGCAAGCACTTGGGAGGGGAACTGTCACGTAAGATTTAGGCCAGTGCTGCCCCCAAATAAATCCAATGTGAGCCAACACTCTGAGCAAGTTGTCACATTAGGTCTCCAAAAGGAAACAGACGGAGTTAATTTTACTGATAGTGGACTTAACTCCAAACGTAACATAGGCCCGAGGCTGCTACCTTCAGCAGAGTCCCCTGCTAGGCTGGCCCTTAGCTGGCATCCGGGAACTTACTCTCCTCCACTCCCTGGCTGATGAGGGAGGCTCATGGGGCCCAGAGTCGGTGTTAA